TCTGTGTCGGGGGGGGGGGGGGGGGGGATGGAGGCAGCTTATATTCTTAAGGGGGCTGCTATTCAATTTTCTATGTGCCTAGTGACCATTTCTATTGTGGGCAGCAGTATAACCCTATGTTTCTTAATATAGAACTGTCCCTCAATGATCCTTGAGGAGAAGATTTTATAGTGAGTACCAATATCCTATTTTCCCCACAAACAGTGGATGTCATTTACATTTTTTTTGTTAAATCAGAAGTAAGGTGATTGGAAAAAGTCCCTTGGAGCTTGTAGCCATAATGTTCTAGTCTGCAGAGCATATTAGCACATTATGGCAGACTTACCTGTTAAAAGCAACCCCCCCCACCCCCACCCCTGCACTTCTCCCTAGTTAGTCCCGGTCTTCTTCCTGGTTCTGATTCTTCAGCTGCTTGACAGGCCAAACTCCCATTATGTAAGTCCTGTGTATGCTGTATCTGTGCGGCTCAGTATACAGGAAAAAAAAATTGACAGACAGCGGAGGACTTTTATGGCATAAAAAAAACCTGGTCAGTATTTATTTATTTTAAACTTCAATTCCACTAACTTTTGTAGTTTAGGCCTAAGCAGGGCTGACATGCAAATTGTAGGAGTTTCCCAATTTTCAATCTCTTCTGAAAACGTGCAGCATGCTATAAGAAGGAACGATATTACTAATGGTCTATTTTTAGCATACATGAGTTATGTCCAGGGTATATTACTACTGTATGTGAATGGATGAACTGTGCAGGAGGTGCAATCCAACAATGCTAGCTTTGTTCATGAGGAAAACATGGTGGAACAGGTTTCAGTGCAGTCTTCTTGTAAAGCAAATCTATCACCAATAAAACAAAACAAAAAAACCCACAACTATCGGGTATAAAGTGCAGGAACATGTACTAGACTGCTCATACCTGCAGCAGCCTGAAAGCACTGCCATTATGTTCCAGCGCTTGGCTGTTCAGATGAAGATAAACTCTGGCACTTCTTGGGGATTTTGAAGCGTATCTGCCCCCAGGATTAAGGTGTAAGAAAGAGAGGGTGTATCTTGCTGCACTCCTTACCGGATCAGTGAATGCCCTGTGTACACAGGTGGGTGCTCGTAGTGACCACGGATGGTGCCGTGAACATACAAAGATCAAGGATGTCACCAGCACACCGATTCAAGTGATCATCAAAAGTCCGTTTTAATGAAGAATTGCCATTCAATTTGCAAGTGAAGGGGACCTCTTGAGCGCTTTCGGGGCTTGAAAGTGCTTGCAAATTGAATTGCAATTCTTCATTAAAATCCAGACTTTTAATGATCACTTTATTCAATGTGCTGGTGACGTCCTTGATATTTGTAAGGTGTAGGGAAGTCTCAGAGGCTTCTGCAGGGCTTTTCTGGTTTGAGTATGAATGTCTGAGTTACTGGCCCAGAAGCATGCAGTAAGTAAAGTGAGAAGTCTTGTGGTCTGCATGCTGGTTCCTGGGAAGTGATTAACGCATTAGCAAAACAAGGCAACCAGAGAATTGGCATTTTCAGAAATAGAGCTTCATTAATGCAGCCAACATATTTCCTTGGCACAGGTTTCCTTTACTTTGGAAAGTCATTGATCACCTCTTCTTTTTTTGCAGATCTCGGACCACACCAGCCTTTTAAACCTGTCTAACACTTCATCCTAAAACGATTAGTCTACTCCTGTATCCAGTGAGGTCCGTTCTAGTCACTGCCAAATCCAGGAGAAGCATGCCTGATCTATATGCCAAACCACGGACAAAGGACGTCCAACCCAAACCATGCTGGATGTGACCGTGGAAGATCCTGCATGTAAACTCAGAACAGATGTCTTAAAGAAGTGGTGCCAAGTACTACAGATGTGTCATCACTGAAGAGCTTTATTTTATAGTGACTGTTTTATACATGTAATTATTGTTAAATTTTATAAAGTCCGACTCTTCCTGGGGCTTTCATTTTACATGGAGGAACTCCACATCAAGCCTTCTAAATAAGGGATAACCCAGCAAGTATTGTAATTACTTTTTAGAAATTCACCCGTTAACTAATATCCCCTTTTCCTCTCTGACTTAAGTTTTTAAACGTTATTACTTCCTACCTATCCCAGCAAAAATGGAACTATACTTTCATTTGCCTTATAATAATCCAGGTCTTTGTTAATGTCCAACACCAGCCATTGGTTTCTGTGTGGATACAGTGAGGAAGGGTTAGACAGCAACAGGAGGGTCAGCCATTCCCCACGGTGTCCAAAACCTTTGAAGAGAGTTTTTGCTGGAGTTGGTGTTAATATTGTGTGTTTCTGATACCAAAGTTCTTCTGCTTGGAAGAAATGATTGACTGTAAATAAGATGGCCAAAGCAAGCTTCAGTGTAACTGAGAATGTGCTTGTTCCAGCCCATCATGCAAATCAGTGTCTTGGAATAACTGAACAGCAACATGCGTATGGTTTTTGTGGACTTTATTATATTATGTACACGGAAAAACAGAAGCAGTAAATAAATTCTGACTTGGAAAATGTCCTTTTCCTTCTTAGCTGTGAAGATACAGCATTGTATTTAAGATAAAAATGTATACACCATAAATATTATGAAATCTCTGACCACGTCCATTTATTTCCAGAAAATGTCACAGCTTTCACGTTCTATTTCCTGTCAAACATACAGAAGCATATCAGTTAGAAATGGAGGCAACTAAAAGTGACACTACCTTCAAGAGTTAAATCTTAAACATTCAAGTATCTTATTAACAAAAATGTGTATCACTCGGCTGTAGATCCTCAAATCATCTCTGCTATGGTGCTGACACTGTCCTTCCTTCTGGAGGGGGGCTACTTTTGTTCACCATGATCCCTGTATGTGTTGTGAGCTTGGAGCGGTGACTACTTTACATTTAGTTTGTATTGAAGGCACCCCAATGCACCTTCCCATGTTGTGTGCTGGCCAAATTTTCTGCAGGAGTGATTTGTAGTCTGTTGTGGTGCATTAGAATGGCCATTCAACACTACGCACATCATTGCATTGCAACAGACTACCCTGGCGTGACTGGGCCCATACTGTCACTATCATCACTCCTCTGCATGTTTTATGAAATACAGATGCATTTTTCCTATAGTACTATTTATTCCTATGAAAGACGTGTTGTTCTGGAAACCACACCAATATGCAGCATTTTGGGGTTAAAATGTCATAAAAATGTGCAACAGGTTACGTGAGGCACAACAGTACGCAGATCTTAACTTTGCTCAGTCAGAGTAGCTATGTCTGCTCTCCAACAAACCTAAGAGGTGCCCAAACTGCATTGTATACCTGGACAATGCCGAAGTGCAGAGGCTCCCAAGGTGCTAATGAGAGGAAGATATTTGCTGTCGGATCTGATTTAGAGTAAGCATGTCACTATGAAGCACAGTATATAATCTGGTTGATGTAGACACCAGCCTGTGCACTAAAACAATCTATTTTACCATGCGGGCTGTTTTTGTGTGCCGACAGAGGGGGTGGTGTCTTGTGCTGTTACAATTTTAAGATGGTTTACATTTTTTTTTTTATATAAACTTTATTGAAATGTCACAGTGACGTTTCATGTGTGACCAGTGCTTACATGAGGGCTGTCTGCATTTTTCACACCAGAACCCATTTCATGGCAGCTTTGTGTTGTGAACAGGTCACCCAGAAAACGGTCTCCTATGTGCCCTTGCAGTGATTGGCATTGCCAGTGAAGAAAAATGCTAGTCACTGCCCGTGGTGTGAACGAGCCACTAAGCATTGTTTACACATGCTTCAGCTTGCATTAGAGCAGTGTGTACAAACTTTGTTAGCGCCTTTAAAGTACCATTCAGATCCAGTTTGGTAATTTCATACACAGATCCTAATGGAAGTGCTGATTGCCACTTAACAAGCTGCTAGCAGTCTGTGTCACCATTACTTGAAGCTTCTTGATGTCTGCTGAAGCCAGCTTGGAGGTTGTTTAATGTGATTGTTTTACAAATCTTAATGATGGTGCAGACTAACAGCGCCTTCTCCTAGTGTGGTAACGTTTATTAGATAGAGCAATACAAATGACATAAAAGCTACTCCCATGGAGGTATATTGGAATAGAGTACAAAGCAGGTCCTGGCTAGCCAGCCTGTCTGCTCTGCACTCTATTGCTTATTCCAATATACCTCCATGGGAGTAGCTTTTATGTCATTTGTATTGCTCTATCTAATAAACGTTAACACACTAGGAGAAGGCGCTGTTAGTCTATTTTTTTTACATGTGTTGTGAGGGTACTTCCCAGTGGTCTTGAAGATGGCAGCCTCTCTCCCCCAACATTTTGAAGTTGAAGAAACCCTTTATGCTGAGCGCTGTGGTGTATATAGTGTTTTTTTGGGGCTCCATTAAGATTTGCATTTAATATTCCCAAACGGAAAAGCTGCTGGAAGCTTGCTGTACACACACGGCTCTTATACAAGCTACAGTCCATATGAACGAGGCCAGGGGTATACGTTTAATGCAAGTATATATCTTCCTGGTGCAGGAGTTTAAAATTAGTGATTCACCTGCAGTGAATATTTCATGGCTTTATAAATATGTTCCTTTTAGTGTGTGTCAATTGTAGACCATTAACAATAGTACAAGATGTGGTTAGTTGGGCAGATTCGGCTGTGAGCCAGTCAGTGCACACAGATGCTGGCAATCTTGAACTTAAACATTCTGTTAGTCCATAGATAGGATTTCCCAGTGAATGTATTGTGCCACTTCTGCTTTCTTCTTTACAATGGACTGACTGCCTAAGGAATCCTATGTGCCCAATGGACTGACTGCCTAAGGAATCCTATGTGCCCATTGAAATGAACTCTATAACTCATTTAGTTCTCTGTCTGTACACACAGCAGCACATATTGTCTGACACAAATACAGAAGCACCATTGTACATACCTCCATCTCTTGATATCGCCTGCTGACCCCTCTGCTCTCCTAATCCAGCTTCCGTACTCCCAGTTTTAGGGGTCCCTTGGCCGCTCTCCTTTCTGCTCTTTTTGCTTCTATCTCTCGTTGTCGTTCTTCTCTTTTCTTTCTTGCTATTTCAGCTTTGCTCAGACCTGTCGTGTGACAATGACCACACTTGGGTTACAATACATAACACAATAGAGCGTACCACACACCACAAAAAAAAAATTAGCAGCTTTTTTTTTTTTCTTGTCCATTGAGGCACACAGGAAGTCTATTACCTTCAAGTTATATTGCCACCTAGAGAAGGATTGGGCGTGTACCTACATGCTTCCAGGTTCATCTCTGGGGTACAGGGGTTCTCTAGGGCAGTGGTGGCGAACCTTGGCACTCCAGCTGTGCCAAAACTACAAATCCCAACATGCATCTGCCTCTGGAAGTTATGCCCGTGGCTGTCAGAGCCTTGCAATGCCTCATGGGACTTGTAGTTCCAAAACAGCTGGAGTGCCAAGGTTCGCCACCACTGCTCTAGGGGAAGCACTAGATGCCCTGGTGGCTCCATGGGATTTGTACAGCCTGATGTATTGCTTTCCTCCTCTGAAGCTTGCAGCTGAGCCTGGACCAGCATCATTAAGAGTCGGGTCTTGTCATCTTGTTTCAGAGACCACTGGCCTCTCATTCCTTGATTAAGACAATTGTACAGGGAGTCTCCTCCCCCTGATCTTTCCCTATGACTCCGAGACCTGATTCTGGTTCTCTCTGCATATCGGATACTGCTATTTAAAACCATTCGAGACATTGCCCTCTCTACTCTCACCCACATTGTGGTATTCCTTATAGCCATTAAAAGGATTTACTTTTTGTAATCTGGGATGGACCCTGTAAAGATGCAACCGATTCTCATTCCCCCAGCTCTAGGTGGCTCAGACAGACATTCAACCAAGCTTATTGTCTCCAGGTTCAGCCATTTCCTGTCAAGATGCACTCCTACTAGATTTGTGAATTCTAGGGATTTACAGCATCAAGAAACTGTTTCCCAGATCTGCAAAGCTGCCACCTGGTCTTCTGTTCATAAGTTCTACCAGGTGGACATTGCAGCCTTATCTGATGCCATCTTTGGGTGTAAGGTCCTTCAGGTGGCTCTTTGAGTCCCTCAATGGTGGAGTAAGAATAAGATTTTTGTACTCGCCAAATATATCCTTCTCTTGGAGTCTATTGAAGAACACTGTTACCCTCCCTTTGTATTTATGAACATGTTTTGCTACCAAATGAGGCACGCTGGTACTATAAGGGGAGTTATACTGGCCTATAGATTTTTTTTTGTTTGCCAGTGTCAAACTCCTGTAGGTGGCAGTATAACCCAAAAGGTGAAAGCCGCCTATGTTCCTCATTGGACTTTTTTTAAAGTAATCTGTCAGCCATTTAGCAAGTACAGACATTTTAGTTGTTCCTGTGAAATAAATACCTTGTCGGTAAAAGACGCTACTGCCTTGGCAACAGGCTTGAAAAAGTGTATTTAGTCAAACAGCTTAACCTCCCTGACCGTATGATTATTAAGGCCTTGTTCACACCAAATGCAGAGCAGATCCGCTCAGGTTTCTGCACGTGCAGTAGGTTGTGCCGCGTTTTTGATGCGTTCCGGGCCATTTTTTAACATGGGCTTTTAGTGCGTTCCAGGCATTTGCAGATCCAGAGCAGGTATAATAGGGCCTGCTGCAGTTTTTTCACCTGCTCTGGATCTGCACGCTGCGGTGTGAACTGGAGCAAAAAATACCATAGGAATACATTGGACGCAGTTTTGATCCGGTCTGCAACTGCTCTGCGCTGCGCTTGGTGTGAACAAGGCCTCAGGAATTTAGCATCCCAAAGCGGTACATTGTTTTTCATGGCAATTTGTTGTTTTATATTGTAGGCCTGTAATTCTTAGGAATAACTCACCTAAAGCTGCCCAAACAAGAGTCCAGTAGACATCCCAGGTATGAGAAAGTTTGAAACACGAAATTAAAAAATTATAATAATAATTTAAAAAATGGTCCAGTAAATGGGAATTCTGGGGGCGCTGCCTGACCCGTACCACAGTCAAAGTACCAAGTTCACACATCACTGAGCTCGGTCGCAGAATCGTCGCTGTTTTAGGTCAAAAGCGGTTTTAGACCAGGTAGAAAACAGCGATAGTAAATTAGCATCACTTGCAGAATTGAGCGATAGCGATTCGTTGGGAAATTCGTCATCAGACACTGAAAGTGAAAGACAACGAAGTGATGCTAATTTACCATCGCTGTTTTCTACCTGGGCTAAAACCGCTTTTGACCCAAAGGGACGCTTTTCCGATGCCATGGACGTTTACAAGTTTCCAGACAGAAAGAACAGCAAAAGTGCAGGCTGGGCACTGGACAAAGCTCTAGGGACAAAATTGAAGTGAAATGATTTGATACATAAGTGTAATTTTGTTGTATTGTGTTTGTTGTATTGTGTTTGTTGTATTGTGTTGTGTGTAAATGTCATTTTTCACTTTTGAATTTCCCGCCGGCTCCGCCCCCCGCTGTGACGCCTGAAAACGAAAGTAAAAGTCAGATGCCGGCATCGGCCAGCCGTGTACATCAGAGGACACCGCAGGGACAAGTAATTGTTGTATTGTGTTTGTTGTATTGTGTTTGTTGTATTGTGTTGTGTGTAAATGTCATTTTTCACTTTTGAATTTCCCGCCGGCTCCGCCCCCCGCTGTGACGCCTGAAAACGAAAGTAAAAGTCAGATGCCGGCATCGGCCAGCCGTGTACATCAGAGGACACCGCAGGGACAAGTAAGTGACACTTTTCTGTGCAATCCTGAGTCTGGCTCTGGGTTACCGCTCCTGGTAGTGAAAGTTAACCCCGAACCACACTCGGGAATACTGCCAGGGAGGTTAATACACAAACACTATGTACAGTGATCGTTTGCCTTTATAATGTACATAGCAATGCTTCCTGAAGAATCTACAGGACCATTTCTGAACATTCAGTAGTTTGACATGGACATCTCTGCTAATCTGTCCACATATGACAAGTCACTTCTACTGACAAGTACTATGAAAACCAAGAAGAAAAGAGAAACTTTTGGCTTTCCAATGCTATTTTGGGGACGCAGTTGAACAGACCATAAACCCCTTAAAAGATATCCAACATGAACCACTGCATATACACAGCTAACTAGCTTTGTTGTTTTGCACTTTACTCTGTGAAAGGAAGAAAAAAAAAAAAGGATTTGTTCAAAGAGATCTATAATAATATATTGCGGTCACCATTAGGCCGAATAAGGTAAAATAACATATATATTTTTTTTTCCCTGTGATCAGTTTCTCAAAACCACAACTTTCTGCCTTCTGGGATGATTTCTGTACGATCATTCACATACAAGGACAGTAACACATGATGTCATAGGATCACTATCACCTGAGGTAGAGTTTGGAGCAACTGATTTTGGAAATTCATAACCGGGACAATCTCGGAATATGGAGTTGAGGACTACCCAATGATGTTTTTAGCATAGATCTAGTGAGGAAAAAATACAAAACAAAACCGGCTGCGGACGTCCCATCTAATCAGCTTTCAGATGTCATTTTCCAACACAAATTCTAAAAAGGAGGTTAAAACCAGTTTGCTTGTCACTGCATTGCACTACTTTATCTCACCTTGATCTGCTTCCACCGATTCCCAGTTGTCATCTCCCCCCCAGTCTCCACATCCATCCGAATTGCAACTTTCATCCTGTTTCTGCACAAAAACAAAATGTGTGATCAGTATACATTCCAAAAAGCTGGCACCGTAACACTCAATATACAATACTAGGGGTCGGCCCATAATCACAATGAGTGCACCCGTATTCATCTTACCCCATACTGCCAATATTGAAAGGAAAGCAGCAGGGCCCCAGCCTGTGTCCTGTGTGCCTCCTCCTGCAGAGTGATCTCCCCTCCCGCTGCCTGTCACGATACTTCAGGCCTGGTTCACATATGGCCAGCCCAGGACCTTGCGTACATGCACATTCGCTGCATGGATTGCTGGGCGCATTTGGGGTGCCATTAGAAGAGAATGGCACTGCAAGTACGGATTGCGTGTTTCCGCACACATCGCCATGCGGTCTCGGAACACTGAGATGTAAACCGGGCCTAAGGGAAAGCGGCCAGCAGCAAGTCCCCAGAGCGATCTCCTCCCCCATTGCCTGTCACATAATTCCTGCAGGCGTGGAGATGGAGATGGAGGCAGAAGTGCACAGAGAGCAGAGCCATCAGCCAGACACAAGGGACAGCTACACGAGCTAAATAATTATGACATTGTAGATGTAATCCTTCCGGCATCTAGGTGCAAAAAGTGCCCACTTTAAGATTACAGACTGAACCTTCACCTTTAGCACTCTCTTCAGTACCTCCACTTCTCCCTTTCTGTGCCTCCGCACAAACTAGCAAAACTACCTCAGGCCCATTGGGATCTCAGGATCCTTGTTCTATCTCATGTGCAGGCCTGGCCTTCAAAGCCACAGCCCAACCTGTCCTAGATTCTCTCTCACAGAGTAGTTGTCTCTTTCAGACATACAAGTCCTACAGTTTGTCTTGGTATCCAATAGATCTAATCACCCCTGTCCCTTTCCAGAGGGATCATCTGACTTTTGTGGTCAGTTAGTACGCTTACAGATTGATCACCATCCTCCCAGGACTCTAACTTTCGAGTCTTGGCCCTGCACCTTGAGTTTTCTGCCGGGTGCTGGCCACAGGGTTTGGCATCCACATTGTGGGACACTCAGACAACCTTCTATGGAGAAAATGGTCCCTAGTGGAAAATGTATACTTGATGGTTCAAACTTTTCATGATTTGGCTTGATCTTATTTTGTTCTAAAGCTGTGTTGAAAGCTTTTCATCGTCTGCAGGCAGCTTCAACCTTTTGCCCCTTGTTCAGGAAGTTATCAGTTTCTCAGCTGTTGCAGGAGAATTGTGGGTTAAGAAGTCCTGCACAACAATACACTTCAGCCTGCTCTAAGACCACCTCAGTCCTTTCCTACGCTGTAGCGAATCAAATTTCTAAACTGCCCAACCTTGAGGAACAGAAAGTGCCTGACCTGATGATTCAGGGGCTGGCGAAGATTTTTCTTTCTACTTTCTAATGTTCATGTTATAAGGGAACTAGGGATGCACCAATACCAGTTTTTCCCAGTACTCGCCGATACCGAATACCGATACCGGAAATCCAATTATGGAAGCCAGGTGGCGTGTAATGACTCGCCACTTGGCTTCCTGAATAGCTGGGAAGCAGAGCGGCGTGTAAAGACTCGCCACCCGGCTTCCCGATTAACAGGGAAGCCGTCTCCGTGCTTCTCGAAGCATGGAGCCGAATTTCTGGCCTATCAGGAAGCTGGGTGCCGTGTAATGACGCCAATGTTCCAGATTGGCCGGGAAGCCGGCTCCGTGCTCCCTCGTCACTTGTGTCCATCAGGCATGAGCACCTGAGAGGCCTGTTAACACCAAGATTTGGTTAGTATGGTTCAGCTGAGGCGGTGAACTACAGTATATGTCCAGGTGCAGCAAGTCAAAAGGTGGTACCTAGTGAAATGTATATCCAGTTCAGCCCGGGTACAACCCTGGAAGAGCCATGTAGAAACACCTCCAAAAAAATAAAGAAGACTCAATAGCCGTAGGCAGAACAAAAACACAAGTCCTTACTGTTGTGGCTGTCTTTTTTTTCAAGGAATGGGGATCCAATACATTCTGCAACCCCCTAAATGGCACTAGTCTGCCTGAATGTCTTTCAGGACTACGGTAAACAATTCTATGAAATGAGTCAATGACAAATAATTGTAAAGTGCGATATATACAAAAATGAAATGCACAGACTAAAGTACTATCACTAAAATGCGTAAAACAAAGTAAGCTTTCTATAAGTACAACTGAATATTGGAGCTCTAGAACATTTCTCAATTCTATATGCACATGGTGAAACGTTAATCAATTGTTTAGTAGGATTCAATTACCTGGTTAGTTTTCTCTGATGCCACCGCAAAGAAATCCACTTGTGTCCCACCACCAACACTGTCCCAATTGTATTCACTGGCTGCTCTTGTGCCGTCTGGAGGGGAGAAGGTAGATGATGTTCGGCTTTTAGAATTGGAGACGGGCTGCAAAGCATCTTCCCAGCCCCAATTTTCTTCAGCAGCAGATGTCCTGGTATCGGTAAGCCTCTGGTCACTCACAGTACTTGGTTTAGATTTGGAAGAAGAATAAACAGCCTAAAGGAGGAAGCAATCCAACTATTACATTCCGTATTTATATTTAGTGAAAACACATTCTAGGCAAAATTCAATGTCATTTTAATCTGATTTGGGGGAGTGCCCATTCACACGTGCTGCTGAAGTGCAAAAGCAGAAGGATATCTGACACTGTCTGATGCATGCGGTTATATTATTACAACTGCTGTTGCCTATGAGATGTGTATAGACAACATTTCAAAGGACATATTTCAGGTGTTAGGATCCATAGGAAAAGGGTTAGAGAGGGGTTAGGTGTAGGAGCTGAGCTGTTGTTACAGTGATCTCCTATAGAGAACTAGAAGGCAGTGAGAGCAGTCAAACGTTGTGTGTTACAATGGGAGCTGAAGCTGTTGTATAGGACTGGACACCAATTGGCAGTAACAGCAGATTTTATAAAATAGTCGCTTGAAGAACTTTTCTACCAAAACTAACAGAAGAGGCAGAAACATCAACGTTATAAAATCTTGCACAAGTGTGAACTGAAAACCAGGTTGCATCTTTACAAATTTGGGTAAGTGAAGCCTGATTATGAAAAGCCCAAGAAGTACGAATCGCTCTAGTAGCAAGTACGAATCGCTCTAGTAGCAAGTACGAATCGCTCTAGTAGCAAGTACGAATCGCTCTAGTAGCAAGTACGAATCGCTCTAGTAGCAAGTACGAATCGCTCTAGTTATCCCGCAACTCATAAGCTTGAACGACAACCGAACAAAGCCACTCAGAATTTGTGGATCTACAAGTTGACCCTTACTAGGACCTTCTAGTGGGACAAATAAAGAATCCCAACATCTAAAAGGAAGCTGTGACTGAAAGATAAACTTGAACAGCCCGCACAACATTCAAATAATAAAGAGAAATTTCCTTAGGATTATCAGGAGCTGGACTAAGTGAAGATAAAACCATGTCTTCAAGGAGATGAAAGTCCGAAACCGCCTTGGGTAAAAAGACAAAGCAGACAACTCAGAGAACCTTCCAGCCACACCCTGCAAGGCCAATCTGGGGCAACAAAAATGACTAGAACTCCTTTGCATTCTATTATTATTACACAGGATTTATATAGCGCCAACAGTTTGCGCAGCGCTTTACATTATAAGGAAGACATTACAATCACAATTCAAGACAAGATGGTGAGGAGGGCCCTGCCACTGAGGGCTTACAGTCTAAAATGGAGGGGGAAGTGATACATGAGGTAGATTTGTGGGGATGAATTGTTTGAGAACGTGATGGTTCTATCCCGCTAAGCAGATGAGGTAATAGCATCAGAGGAGGAAAGAAATACATCAAAGTGCACTGATCCCATGGAGCTACCAAGGCATCCACTGCCTCTGCCTGGATCCCTCGCTCTGGATATAAATCTGTCCAACATTCTTGTTGTGGCGAAAAAAGCTGGAAGATCCGCGTGCGGCGTTCCCTAGTGCTGACAATTTTTGAAACACCTCTGGATGACTATACCGCTCGTCCTGATCCAGACATTATCTGCTGAGAAAATTCACCTTCCAGTTTCCGACTCCTGGGATGTGCACCTCCTGCGGCACTGTCTGACAATCTGAAGGACACCCGGACAGAAGATGGGTCCAGTGGAACAATGCCAGACAAACTGCCTTCAACTCCAAGACATTGTTCAGGAGCTTGGAATCCTCTGGAGGTCAACGACCCCGCAGCGACAGATGATCCAAGAGATCGCCCCATCCCACAAGAGTGGTGTCCGTCATGACAAACCTCCAAGTTAGTAAAAGAAGCGACTTCTCCGTAAATGCAGGGGGATATCAACAACCACAACAGATCCCCAGATAATACCGGCCTGACTGTAATAAAGGAAGTGATAACCATGGGAACTTCAGACCACCGCAGGACGAATCACAAGTACTGCTTCCGAACAACTGCAGAAACTTCCAGGTTTAACTTATCCGGGATGAATCTCTCAGTTTTATCAGCTAGCTAGAAAAACTTCCAGGATTGAATTATATCCGGCACGAATCAACTAGCAGCCTTTGATAGCAGAATCTCAACAAAGAAACAAAACAAAATTAAAATAATAAACCAGAACAGAAGGACGCATCAATTCTCCTGAGGACATCAAGTGCCTGGCAGGTGTTGGGTGGGAGGGGTTATGTCCTTGAAGCATTTTATGACCGAAGCATTTTAAATATGACCCCTTACCTCCAGGCTTCCCCAGTCTTCATCATCCCATCGGTCCAATGTGTTATCATCAACCTCATTGTCATCTTCTTCACACTCATAGTGAGGCGCTGAGGATAACGCAGCAGGAGGTGCCGATGCAGGAACGGCATCTAAAATCAACACAGGAAAGCATATATTACCTTATTTGGCTATTGCAGTGAATATTAGCGGATATTACTAAAAAGACTGGAAAAACATTGGGCTAAATCTTGATTTCTGCTGCAAATTGCAGATGAGTCAGAATTTGGTAAACACAGCATGAATCTATGGATCCATCTTCATTTCAGTCAACAATCCAGGCTGAAGGTGGCAGGCTTATAGTGGAACTCCAAGAAAAAAAACACGTATTTTGGTATAGCAATAGGTCTGGAAACAACTAATGGGTCAGCTGACAGTAAACCTGATAAAATCTGTCTGATGCCAGTGATTCCTTACAAATTGGAAATCTCAAATATTTTATCAGCACACAAACTGGCTGCTTACACAGTAGATTACAAATACATCGTCATGACAGAGTAATCATCTTCCTCAAATATGCTATAACTACAAAGAGAAAGTCACTCTTGTGAGTACTGGCTGGAAAACCTGGGTGTGCCTTGGATAGGACATAGTAAGTGCATAGGACACTCACCTGGCTTGCTGGCCTCGGCTGGTACTGTTGTTGGGGGTACTGATGGTCCTTGTGCTGCTGTCTGCGCTGCTGTCGCATCCTGTCCTCCTGCCGCACTGGTCCGGATAAATTTGGAGGTCAAGGAGGAGACTCCAGTGACAGCCCAGCCAGCCCAGCCGCCGACAACACCTGGGTTTGCTGATGCCGCATGTACATCTTTTTCTGTGAACAGAGCCAGATACATATAAAACGCAAGATCCACTTTAAGGTAAGAGGTCCAATGTTTCTGGAGAGAAGGAAATGATAGTTTCCATTACCATGTACACCCTTGCTTACCGAGCTCTGCTAACTGTGCTGGATCCTCTGACACAGACTCTAGTTTATCCAGAAAGCTGCGTATTGTTTTGAATGCCTGTAGGTGAATACAAAAATATGGCATGGTGATATAGCGTGATATCCAGCTTCACCAGTGCTTTGTCATAATTAGTATAAAGAACATGCTTTCTCTCACCTGATCTCGGACACTCTTTTCTGGATCCATTGTTACACTACAGAGCACTGGTAGGATCTTCCCAGCACAGTCATTCATTGAGTAAAAGTTGTGTGTAGCAGCAAAACCAAGAACTCCAGCAGCTCGGGATGGGGAAAAGGGATCTTTTGTAGCTCTACTGAATGCTGATATCAGGACCCTCTGCCGTGTCTGTGACGAGAATATAATCTTAGCATGCCATATGTTTAATTGTATGTAGAGTCTTCAACTCTTTTGTTGTTTTTTTTGAAGATAGTCCATCTTCTTTTTAATACGCAGCATATATGCAATGACCTGATTCCAGTGTTTTAGTTATTAAAGTCTAGCGATATTAAAATGATGATTATGGGGTCAGGGCTTTTCCCCATAGTTCTTCTAAGGGTAACGGGAGGACACAAACTAGCATCCTCCCGTCACCTAAAGCTCAGTATACTGAGAGCTACAGCTCGCGGTATACTGAGACGCCACAGCCAGAACGGATCCCGACAATGCTGTCTGGATCCACCCAGCTGCGTGAGTGACAGCTGGCTCTGCCTGTCTAGAGGCAGAGCCAGCTGTACCCGCCCCCTCCCCCGTCCATTCCGCCAGTCAGCGCTGGAGGATCGGACAGGGGAGGGGGGAATCCCTGCAGGGATAGATCGAGAAGTGAGCGAGCGACGGTATGTGTTCGCTCACTTCCCGATCTACTGAGCCGACCTGTGATAGTCTCATTGTCACAGGTCGGCTCAGATTATGAGGTTGAGAGAAAATCACTTGCCTTATAATTTTCCTTTAAAGTAAACCTGTCAGCCATCTTAAGCTGTTAAAAGCTCAACAGCAGACACCACAAGATATCCCCTATTACCTTTACTAGCCTGTAACTCTCCTCAATGTGCATGTCCAATTTACGGTCACAATCTTCTAGGCTAATACCTGCCCACTGTCTGAATCCTAGCCAGCAAGAGCACCCTTAAAGAAGAAATATGGCAAAAAAGGGCAAATAAACATACTCTTTACCTTTACTCTATTAGCAGTATTCATTATTTACAAAGTCACAGCACATCGGAGATAAATCATCTCAAATCTCAGAAAACCGCCACTTTCAGCTCCTTTCCTGTTAGGGGCCGTAATAGTTAATGCAGCCTGCCCCCAGCTTTTCTTTCTAAAAGTAAATCTGCTGTGGCAGATCTAAGCGGGCACAGCTGTGTGGGTGGCTGGAGAGAAGAGCTTGTCACTGCACGTGGAGAAGGCGGGACAGAGGAAGGAGACGGGCAGGGAGGAGAAAGAAGCTAAACAGCAGCACATGCCTGGAAGGCTGGCACAAAGGACGTGGAGGTAGGGAGAGAGCTGAGGGGACCGAGCTGCTACACATGCCCATATATTAGTGGACGTGCAGCAGCTCACAAGAAGCGCCCTCAGTCAAACTGACGAGAGATCAGTGGGGAGGATCCCGACAGTATTGTCAGGATCTCTCCTCATTGCAGGGCTTAGCCACGCCCATCATCATTAATAACCAATTACAGGTTTAGGGTGCATTTTGGCTTAAAGGTGTAAATTACAATATTTACTCCTTTCACCTAGGGAATACAAAAATGAAGATAAGCCAGGACCCCATAGTTCTCCTTTAATCTCTACTGAAGTACTCTCATACTATGGAGGGATATTAGTTGGAGATGGCTTAGCCCAGAAGTCAGGCCTCCAGTAACAAAGTCAATATAAATCATAGAGGTGCAGAGAGGAGGCTTTTGGCACCAATAAAAAAGGTAATAGATGGATTCTTGTGGTATCAGCTCTTAAATACTTATATTTAAAGTTTATTTCCACTTTTGCAGCCAAACTGGGATCACACCTATTTCATATTTGTTCCATTCACATAACATTAAAAAAAATTGCTGCCTGTGTAAAACTTGCTCACTTCTCAAATACATTTTTTTCTCTGTATTGCATTTTCCTCTGGAATGCAAGTGGGGTGGGGAGGGTAATGTTTATGATAATTAACCCAGTCTGTAATGTGCCAGCAGATCTCATTATCAATTGTAAACTACATTTGAACACTGTCCTGTCCTAAAAAATGTTTAAACAGCCCCGATGCTGGCGACGTACACTGTACGTCGTCAGTCACGAAGGGGTTAACAATCTAGAAGCTTGGCTTCTTTCATTGTATGTTAATGAGGAGGAGCTCAGTCTTTCTATTAGGACAGTCAGTTTCCCGTTACTGAAATTCAGAGTAAAGCTTGCAAAGGCCTTCTAAATAGAGATATCTAAAAGGTAAGAAATATTTTTATTTTTTTTAAAGTGTTTCTCCCCTGGAGACATGCGCCACATATGGTGGACGTCTCTATTCGCCTCACGTTTCGGGACTAGAATTTATCGTCTACTATCCTGTCTATTTAACACACATATTCCTAAAGATCCCACACAGGCTCTGTTACACACCACAGTGCCTGGTGTCTGGCTCCCTAGCACATCAAATCTTTTTAGCAGCCAAATTGACCCTAGCAAGCAATTGGAAAAAAACACTCCTTCCTTATCACGAATTCACTCAGAGACTGGATAATATTATGATCAATGAAAGACTATCTGGTATTCTAACAGACACTCATACTAAGTTTTTAAAGGTTTGGGAGCCTTGGATTTCATATAAACACCCTGAATTAGATGTAGAAACCCTTAGACCTCTCTAGAGACTCCTTGGATGACGAGGGGCGAGGTGGGTGTCCCCACCCAGCCCCCCCCACCGCTCAACTGGTAATTTCCTACACCGATGGATTTACTATCTGCTTCTCCCTTTCCCCTCCTCTTCTTTCTTCTCATGCTTACTTTCTGTCAACCATAAGATATCCACATAGTGCCTGTAACCAATTTACACTTTATTATTCATGTTTTATTATTATGTGAATGTTTATGCACTGAACCCTATGTGAAATGTCCCATTCCATTTTGTGAAAACCCAATAAACACTTTGTTACAAACAAACAAAAAAAGTGTTTCTCAATATACTATGTGAATAGAAACGCATACCAAACATTGCGCGGGTTTTCTCAATTTTGCCTGCGAAAATGGAAATACACTTTAAATGGCTGATAGATTCCCTTTAGGCTGCCCATACATACACCAGCAGACTCAGCTGACTGCAGTGACTATTGGCTCGACAAACATTGGAGTTTATTTATAAATGTTTTCACAAAAGGTTGACACAACTTTCACCCAGGATCCAAACATTCTTCCAATTGAATCCAATTAGACAAATGTGATGATGTCAGCGGAAAGTTGTGTGAAAACATTTATAAATAGACCTCATTACGTTAATAGTAATAATTTGATTGAGAAATTGATGAATCAAACCCTTAAAATGTATTATACGTGTCATAACGGAAATATAAATACACATAATAGCATAGTAAAACCTTTACTTACAATGGGATTGAAGTAGGAAGCAATCTTGCCTAAACACACAGTTGTGTTGCACCGGATCGGCCCCTGATCGTCCCGTGCCTGAAGCCGAGCAAAATGCTTCATCAACTCCACATTTAAGTTGTTTTCATTTAGTTTAGGAGCCAGAAGCAACATGGACTAAATAAAGGGAAATAAGAATTAGCTTGAATGGATAATGTTACAACAACACAAGATATACGAGACGGGTAAAATCAAAAGTTAGCAATGCAGTCATTCTGCAATTAAATGTTTCCTCTGATAAAACATAATGCATGCAGCAATCATTGCACAGAACTAGCAGCCCCACTCAATTGATTTTCAGTTTAGTGTAGTAAGATATATGAAAGATGATTGACGCCATCTTCTAGTGTTTTGACTAATTTAAGAAAGGTCGAAGCCTCAACGCAATGAAAGACTGCAAGAGGATTTCATTAGGCAGTACAAATACGATTTTGTTCTTACCATAACATTTTTTTGTTGGAGTCTATTGAGGGACACAGCTCTGAAGAATTCTGGGACATAGGGTTATGCTGCTGCCACCAGGAGAAATGGACACAAGGCAAAAAAATTATGGTCAGTAATTGAAAAACTCACCTCTCCGCCGCCTTCCGGGTCTTCCGGGAGTCCCGGTGTCGTCACGGACATCGACGTCACCGGACTCCTTCCCTAAGTGGCTCCGTCGGCTAACGAAGGCAAGTTAGTAAGACTATCTGGTATTCTAACAGACACTCATACTAAGTTTTTAAAGGTTTGGGAGCCTTGGATTTCATATAAACACCCTGAATTAGATGTAGAAACCCTTAGACCTCTCTAGAGACTCCTTGGATGACGAGGGGCGAGGTGGGTGTCCCCACCCAGCCCCCCCCACCGCTCAACTGGTAATTTCCTACACCGATGGATTTACTATCTGCTTCTCCCTTTCCCCTCCTCTTCTTTCTTCTCATGCTTACTTTCTGTCAACCATAAGATATCCACATAGTGCCTGTAACCAATTTACACTTTATTATTCATGTTTTATTATTATGTGAATGTTTATGCACTGAACCCTATGTGAAATGTCCCATTCCATTTTGTGAAAACCCAATAAACACTTTGTTACAAACAAACAAAAAAAGTGTTTCTCAATATACTATGTGAATAGAAACGCATACCAAACATTGCGCGGGTTTTCTCAATTTTGCCTGCGAAAATGGAAATACACTTTAAATGGCTGATAGATTCCCTTTAGGCTGCCCATACATACACCAGCAGACTCAGCTGACTGCAGTGACTATTGGCTCGACAAACATTGGAGTTTATTTATAAATGTTTTCACAAAAGGTTGACACAACTTTCACCCAGGATCCAAACATTCTTCCAATTGAATCCAATTAGACAAATGTGATGATGTCAGCGGAAAGTTGTGTGAAAACATTTATAAATAGACCTCATTACGTTAATAGTAATAATTTGATTGAGAAATTGATGAATCAAACCCTTAAAATGTATTATACGTGTCATAACGGAAATATAAATACACATAATAGCATAGTAAAACCTTTACTTACAATGGGATTGAAGTAGGAAGCAATCTTGCCTAAACACACAGTTGTGTTGCACCGGATCGGCCCCTGATCGTCCCGTGCCTGAAGCCGAGCAAAATGCTTCATCAACTCCACATTTAAGTTGTTTTCATTTAGTTTAGGAGCCAGAAGCAACATGGACTAAATAAAGGGAAATAAGAATTAGCTTGAATGGATAATGTTACAACAACACAAGATATACGAGACGGGTAAAATCAAAAGTTAGCAATGCAGTCATTCTGCAATTAAATGTTTCCTCTGATAAAACATAATGCATGCAGCAATCATTGCACAGAACTAGCAGCCCCACTCAATTGATTTTCAGTTTAGTGTAGTAAGATATATGAAAGATGATTGACGCCATCTTCTAGTGTTTTGACTAATTTAAGAAAGGTCGAAGCCTCAACGCAATGAAAGACTGCAAGAGGATTTCATTAGGCAGTACAAATACGATTTTGTTCTTACCATAACATTTTTTTGTTGGAGTCTATTGAGGGACACAGCTCTGAAGAATTCTGGGACATAGGGTTATGCTGCTGCCACCAGGAGAAATGGACACAAGGCAAAAAAATTATGGTCAGTAATTGAAAAACTCACCTCTCCGCCGCCTTCCGGGTCTTCCGGGAGTCCCGGTGTCGTCACGGACATCGACGTCACCGGACTCCTTCCCTAAGTGGCTCCGTCGGCTAACGAAGGCAAGTTAGCCGACGGAGCCACTTGGGCCGGTGATCTGTCGGCACTGAGAACTTATCGAGTTCTGCGACCGCCTGACTTCCGGTTTTGTTACAACTAAGAGGTTTGCCCAAGAAATTTGTTCTGCACGAGCGCCAGCCAAGGCATTGGCCTATACACATACAGCACAGCAATGAAGTAATAAAACGAACTAGGATCACACTAATCCAGCACAATATTATTCTGAGTTACCCCACACGTGCTGGATTAGTGTGATCCTAGTTCATTTTATTACTTCATTGCTGTGCTGTATGTGTATAGGCCAATGTAGTTGGATCTGTGTGTGCGTTATAATTAATCAAAATTAAATCGATTAAAAAACATTTCGATTAATCGAACACGAAAATTTTTAATCAGTACCAGCCCTAAAAAAAATGTAAAGCCTGCTACTTAAAGAACATAACCACTCCCACCTGCCATAAGCAGTATGAAGGGAAATGAAGGGAGGGAGCTGTGTGCTTCAATGGACTCAGAGAAAAGGATATTAAGCTATTTTCTCTATCGTCCATTGAAGGATACAGCTCTGAAGAATAATGAGATGTAGGGACATTCAAAAGCAGTCCAAAACAGAGGGGCTGGCACCACAACCACAAACCAGTTCAACAAAAAAGAACTGTCAATAATCAAACAGCCATCTGAAGAGGTTTTCTGCCAAAACTAGCATCAAAGAGGCAGACACATCAACCTTATAAAACTTTGCAAAAGTGTGAACAGAAGGCCAAGTTGCAGTATGCAAATCTGAGCAACAGAAGCCCGAGTATGAAATGCCCGAGTACTAAATGTGCCAGTAGAATGAGCAGAAACAGGAAAAGGAGGAACCCTATCAAACAATTCATAAGAATGAATGAAAGCTGAACAACCTTTATAAGACATTCTGGTAGGAAAACAAAACAATCTGACCGTCTAAAGGAATCTGCTCTTGCAACATCCGAGCAACGAAGACAACTTTCCTTAGAATGAACAGGAGCTGGACAATGTCTTCATTGAGATCACATGGCTGAAACCACTTTGGGTAAAAAGGCAAGGTCTCAAAACAACCTTGTCCGTATGAGGAACCAAATAGGGTTCTCAGCAATACAAAGCAGGCAACTCAGAAACCGTTGTAGCCGAGCTAATGGCGACAAGAAAGGCAACCCTTTTGGCCAACAAAGACAAAGAAATACCTCAAATAGGTTCAAAAGGAGGTTTCTGTAGAACAGATAAAACCAAATTTAAGTCCCACGAAGGAAGGGGAGACCTAACAGGAGGAACCACGCGTGCAATTCTCTATATAAAAGTATGAAGCAAGAGGATGTTCAAAAAGGGCAGACAAGGCAGATATCTGACCATTATGGTACTGAGAGCTAAACACTGATGGAATCCCCAGATGAAGGAAAGAGAGTACACAAACAAGAAAAAGCCCATGGGGAAATCAGCAAAAATATACCTTGGAGGTACGGTGATAAATGTTTTGAGTAGAAGATCTAAGAGCCTTAAAAAGGAGAACTATGAGGTGAGTGATTTTCACTCAACCTCATATTTCGAGCCGACGTGTGACAATGAGACTGTCACACGTCGGCTCAATAGATCGGGAAGTGAGCGAACACACCGTCACTCGATCACGATCATTGACCGATTCTCGATCACGTCCCTGCAGAGAGAGGTGACTGTCATTCAGGGCTCCCTGCAGGGATTCCCCCCCCCCCCCTCCATCGCTGACTTGCGGAACGAACCGGGGAGGGGGCGGGTACAGCTGGCTCTGCCTCTAGATAGGCAGAGCCAGCTGTCACTCACGCAGCTGGGTGGATCTCCACAGTAATGTTCGGGATCCGTCCCGGCTGCAGCGATCTCAGTATACCGCGAGCTGTAATGATCATAACAATCATTATGAATCAACTAGCAACTTTTTTATAGCGGAATCTCAATGCAGGAACAAAACAAACTAAAATAATAAACCAGAAGAGAAGGACATATCCATTTTCGTGAGGATACTAAGCAAAACTGACATGTGTGAGGTGGGAGGGGGTTGTCCTTACAGTGGCAGGCTTTATATTTTTGCGCCTAGTGCCCATTTCTCCTGGGGGCAGCAGCATAACCCTACATCTCAGAAGTCTTCAGAGCCGTTTCCCTCAATGGAGAATAGAGAAAAATTATGGTTTTGTTAAGACTGAAATTGGATTCACAGCCTTGAAGTGAGTCTTTGCTGACTTATACTCCCCTAAACTGCCAGCACACATGGTTACATACATGCAGAGCTCCTTCAGCCTTAACATTTGTTGACCTTTAGTATGCAAACAGGCACTTTAGTTCCAGAATTTATCCTACACCTCACCCCCTACCATGGCAATTGCTATGGCATACTTGTGATAGAGACAGTCTTACTGACCAATAGTAAGATATGAGAAACGGGAATGGAATCTGCTATTCACTTATTAGAGCTACCTGAGCTTTGATGCTCACAGAATGCTCTTCATGGTGTATGGCTATTTGTGCCGGCATCTCTAGCTTTCTGGCAGTTTAGGGATGTTATACTTAGTACAGCTTCACTTTAAAAACATATATCTCACCAGAAATGTGGGTTTGCGTTTGGAGGACCTAGAAAGTAACCGTTATTTGCCTCTGTAAAATTGTAAATGTATTGAAATGTCCTCCCTATGATCTGTAGGAAGTGGAATCACCAGCACTCAGTAGAATCATCCAACATGTCCATTTATTGGATATAGACATCACACAATCACAAGAGCCAGGCTCTTGTGACTGTGTGATGTCTATGTCCAATAAATGGACAGGTTGGGTTATTCTACTGAGTGCTGGTGATTCCTCTTCCTACATTGTGTCTGCACGGTGCCATCCGTGTTCATCACTACAAACACCATTGTCTACATAGGCCTTGATTGCTGCAAGGTGTGCAGAGGATTTCCCCTTCTATCCACTCCCTATGATCTGATCATGACTACCCCTATGTCTGCATGGGAAACTTATGTACCAGCCCAATGACAATGTAAAATGTCCTGAAATCAACAAGAAAATTGGATCCCAATCATCTTGCTACCATAACTACAGCAATCATTTTGGGTGGGAGTTCTCCTTTCAACTATTCACATTGTGGCTTGATAGGGAGGACATCAAAGAGAAGCTAACTGTTCTTAATGGCTGAATAGTAAATAGACTAATCCACAACTGTGCATCAATGAGAAAAGCAGTAATGCTGCATGGAACATGCTGCCTAAATTTACTGAAAGACTAAATTAAAGTGTTCAAAGCATATATATATATATATATATTACAAACAACAGATAACATCACCATATTGGCATTACCTTCACGGTCTGTTCCCGGATTGCAGGATTTGTATCCGTAAATCCATGGACCACATGCGGGAAGATCTGTGTATTGACTGTTGGTTCATTTAAGTACTGGATGAAATTCTCCATCTGCCTCATGCAAAATAAAAAAGGTAAAAAAGATTAGGGCTGCAACTAAGGATTATTTTCATAATCGATTAGTTGTCCGATTATTTTTTTAGAATAAAATTCACAAATACAGTGTTACAAACATAAAGGCACGGTACCGTGTGTTCCACTGCGGGCGATCACACTGTGGGTGGGAGGCTCGTTTGGGGTGCCATTGGCACTGCAACGTACCTCCTGCAGCAGAATTTGTCAGGCTGAAACCAAAAATTACTTTTCCCACCTTTTATCATTTAAAAAAAATATATAAATTCTATTGTAAGCACATGGCGCTTGAATAGCTTCAGCCAGGGAATAACAGCTGCCTGTGGCAAGATTCTGAAGACGGCGGCTGAATGTAAATACAGCATATAGTGGGCGGATGCAATAGCCAGCCTGCTATTGAAATGGCCAATAGCATGCTGGCTATTGCACCAGCCCACTGCTTGCTGTGCCCTCCGCCCAGCATGGAAGAAAGTTAGGGAATCCAAACAACTAATCGATAATGAAAATAGTTGACAACAATCTCATTATTGATTAATCGATTAGTTGGTTGCAGCCCGAAAAAGATCAAATGCAATCAGCAGTAGAAAACAGAAATCTACACTATGCTAAATTGCTACATCAATGCCAGTTGCCAATAGATAAGATATATACTTAGTTTGAAAAAACAATTTACGTGTGGAGTACCTGACTCCACATTACGTGTGGAGTACCTGACTAAATTAGACCAGCAAGAACCAGTACTTACCTGCTGCAGGAGTCGTATTCTCATGGCTCTATCTGTGGAGGAGAACATTTTAACAATGATGGGAATGATCTTTTGTTGATATTCTTCGGCATTCAAAAACTTTCCAATCTATAAGAGAAGAGGAGAATATGTTACGTCTTATCTCACTTCCATAAACTTAAATTTATAAGCTTCAGTGACTCTAGTGAAAGCACAGATAAGTTCCCTTATAGCAGATGGAAAGTATCGAAGCAAAATCAGTATGAGCCAGATGCTTATCGGGTACAAATGACAGCTATAACCAAGTAAGGCACTCATTTAAACCCTTTCATAAGCAGGAGCTACGGTGAACAACTGATGCTGTCATCAGACGACTTTGTGGCAATGATGTCTTTGCTTTTGCCAATCATGCTGTATTGGTGATAATTTGCCACTATTTTTCAAAAGATTGGCAACATATTTTATTTCTAAAACCACCAGGACTCACCACTCCGCTTCCATCTCTGACTGCAAGTCAGGACATGCACCCGGCGCAAGCTAAAGTGTGCTCTCAACTCCCAAACTATACTTCCAGAATCCTCCGCACATAACCGGTATCCATCAAATCCAATTTTATTGTAGTGATTTCAATACAAAGTCCAAAGTTGAGCATATACACCACCAAAGATCTCTGCCATACCCGCACCTCGAGGCAGAGATGTTTTGGACTCCCTCTGACCGGCAGTGCCGTGAGGGAGCATGGAGCTGGATTCAGGACCCGCCTGCCGGCTTCCTGATTGGCTGGGAAGCCGGCTTCACGCTGCCTAGCGACACTGCGGGCAGCCTGGCTTCCTGACTAAGGAAGCCAGGCTGCCCTACAGTGTCGCTAGGGAGCATGAAGCTGGCTTCTTAGGCAATCAGCAAGCCGGGTGATGGGTCATGACCCGCTGCCCAGCTTCCTGATTGGCTGGGAAACTGGACCCACGCTAACTCGAGATGCCGGTATCGACCAGTACCGATAGAAAAATATTGGTACACGTATTCGATCAAGAGAAACCGGTATGGGTGCATCCCTAATCCAGATATCACATTGAGAAAGCATTATGCCACAACTGTAACAAAGGCACTGTCAGTTTGCCTTTGTTTTCATTCTGCCAGATGCAACATTTTCCCAGAAAAACCATACAGGAAGTGTTGCTATACTAATAGAGAAAGCACACTGTGGTAAGATCACCTCCCTAGTAACTCTTCTTTTAATTAAGATGACCAGTTATATCCTTCATACATACTCTACTCCCATCTTAACTGGTGTGGTGCAGTGCATCCCTTGATTAATTGGATGTGCACTATATGTCCACCACCATCTTCTGAATAACGTCACCAGTCAAAAAGACACCAGGGTAAAGTGCAATGCACATCCCGTCAATCAGGGAAAAATCTGCAAAAAGCTCACCTTAAATAAGGGCGTTAGGATAACAGCGCCAGCGCTGCCAAATTCGAAGGCTGTAAGAAGCTGCGGAAGGATTTTATGGCGACAGAAATCTTCAGGAAAAGAGTCCAGATTTTCACTGAGCTGTTCAAAAAACGTCTGTCGTTCAGCAGGGTCTTTAATCTGTGCAAAATAAAGTGTTAATGAAACAAATACTAAAAATTAAAATGTAAAAAGTACATCAAGAACACACCTATACAAATGGTATGCAGTGCCAGTGCTGCAGCTACAACACAGAGTAAGAAATTGGCTTTTTAAATAAAATATATGTGTGTTTGTAAAATAAAATGTAAAAATACAAGCACAATTTCAAGAGAAGGAAGATAAAAAAAAAAGCAAAATAAATAAATAACAGCAACTGTTCTGATTGGAAAACTCTATTACTAGACATGATTGGAAACATCTTCTGGTTTTAACAGGCACAATGGCATTAAAGTGACATTAAACCCTCAGATTTTTTAACATACACCAATACTGTAATGTGTGCCTTACTGTAATCCATGGTTGTTTTCCTTCTCTTTGCTGTTCTTCCTTTTAAATCTGTATCTGTTCTCATGCTCTGCAGAACTTCTGTTTTGCAGCAGACTGCCTTGTCTCAGGAATGGATATACGGTGTCTGTGTATCCATTTGTATAGGCTTGTAATCTGAGCCAGCACTACAGGCAGAGGCCCTGAGCTGCAAAGGGAAGTTCTCCCCAAGCATGAGAAGACATGAGGATTTAAAAGGAAGAGCAGCACAGAGAAGGGAAACTACCATAGATTACAGTAAGGCACACATTACAGTATTGGTTTATGTTAAAAAATCTGAGGGTTTAATGTCACTTTAAAGTAATAAATCAACTCTTACAAAAGACAATTTAAAAGTATGCAATGTGCTCAACAGCAGACCTTATTGAATCAACCAACAGAAAAATGATGTTGCTACTGCTACGAGGATGTGCCGAAGTACAACTGGAATTCCAGATACAGACAGTGGAGAGACAGACAGTGGAGAGGCAGATATCAGGCAAAAAAAATATATAAAATGAGGTATTCTATGTGGTGAATGATTACATAATTAAACACCCGTGTTTTACAAATATAAACTGTCCTCCTCCAGTGTCCTTTAACACACTTACTGCATAAAACACAAGGGAAGGGAGAGGGAGAAGCCAGTCTGGGCCTGGATCATCTGTTTCAATAGTTTTTATTAGCAAAGACTTCCTGATGTGTGGCTTGGTCTTCTTTCTTTTCTAGTTATACTGGTGGGCATGAAGAGGCATGTGGTGTGCACCCAGGGCGGAACGCTACTGACATTTGCTTGGGAGCGGTGAATTTCGAGGCTGGCAATCATGTTGTGTAAAGTAAAGAGGCTACTGAACAGACACCTCTGTGGAGCCTACAACATCTGAGTATGGGGTACTGCCAATGAAGGATCTGATCAGAAGGAGATGGGAGGGACATAGAACAGGGTGTGTGGCCTCTCTCATGTATCTTCTCCACTTAGGGAATCGGGACTTTCACCATGGGGATGTTTGTAACCCTTTGAATGGAAGTAGGAATCAGCGAATTGTTAACCAAAGGATGTTGAAAAAGAATGGACAGGGTAGACACCTAACCTTTGATGTCACTAACGACCAAATGTTATTCTACCCCCAACCGAAGTAAAGAAAGAACATGGCCCCTGAAAAGCCACGTTGGGAAACCCCCAGAGACTTACACGTAAAAATAAGACCTTTAGTTTCGATGATAAACGTTGCATAAACTAGGTTTACGAGCTTTCAGCATGTTCGGGATAAATGAATCTGATATTCCTGCGTCTGTCAGAACCTGGGGTCCAACAACAGGGCAGTCAAAGCTAACATAAGAGAAACAGGGTGGAAGATGAGTCCTTGAGAGAACAAATGCAGTCTTTCTGGTAGAAGCCATGGAGCATCACTAACAGACGAACGAGGTCGGTGTACCACAGTCTCCAAGAACATTTCGGAGCTATGAGAATGACTAGAATGCTCTTAACCTCTATCCTTTGAAGTAGGCATGGTAAAAACTTAGTACAGAAAAACCATAGATAAGGGCATACTGATACTATGGCCCCACCAAGGCACCTGCTGCATTCACTGCCAGGTACCGCATTATGGAGATAAATCTGTCCAGCTTCCTGATGAAACCAAAAACTAGAAAATCCACATCCAATGTCTTCAACTCAGATATGTACTAGACAGAGGCGGCTCTCTAATTAGTCAAATTAGGCGGTCGCCTTAGGCCTCGCGGCCACCTAGTTTGCCCTGTCGGCACATCACCTCCCTGGCAGCCAAGTAGCGTTATGAGCTCTCAGACCTGTCACTGTCAAACGGAGACTCTACGTTTGACAGCGACATGGCTGAGAGCTCATCCGTTTCCTCGGTCAATCCACTCGGTCTTCTGGAGCTCCGCCCACCAGCCAATGAGAAGATACCTCACCCCTCCCATCCACCGCACGAGGCTCTCAATCTGGCTGGGAGGGCGGAGTTTACCTTCAGACGCGGATGCAGACGTCGGCGGCACCAGCTGGTCCTTCATGATCTGCTTTCTTCTGCCAGCTCCCGCCCTCGAGAAGCGGCCTTCATATTACTGGTGAGTGGCGGCCTTGTGGAGAGCAGTGGCGGATCCGAGGGGGAGGGGGGTGTCTAAGTGCTGCTCCAGAGTCCCGTTCCAGAGTCCCACTCACTGCCTCTGCCACCAGCAGGTCCGGCAGTGTAGTAACAGTATGACGCAACTACATACAGCTGTGCCCCTCAGTGTCACAGACTTTACTGCAGTTCTTTGTAAAAAAAACTTTGTACAATGAACTGCAGTAAAGTCTGTGACACTGAGGGACACAGCTGTATGTACCATCGCCGGCAGCCACATCCTGCTGTGTGGGTCATCGTGAGGACCCTCTGCTCTGACCCCTCCCCTCCACTGGCCACCAAGTCTGCATTGAGATAGGGGGGCAACCGCCGACCATCCGTCTGGCCCGCAAGTTCGAGAGTATTGCTGGGAGTTGTAGTCCCCTATAGCCATTACTATTCTGCATTTTTCTGTCGAGAGTATTGCTGAGTTGTAGTCTCCTATAGTCGTTACTATTCTGCATTTCTTTAGAGATTATTGCTGGGAGTTGTAGTTCTCTATATCCGTTACCATGCTGCATTTCTGTCGAGGGTACTCCTGGGAGTTGTAGTCCCCTATAGTCGTTACTATTCTGCATTTCTTTAGAGAGTATTGCTGGGAGTTGTAGTTCTCTTTATACCTTTCATTTTTATCGCTTGCATTTTTTCTCATTATGGGCCTGAGTGGGGCCTCATTTTTAAGTTTCGCCTAAGGCCTCGCAAAGTCTAGAGCCGCCACTGGTACTAGAACACCTTTGGATGGAGAGGCCACTGTCCCCGGGTCCAGACACGGTCTGCTGTAAATCTGCCTGGCCGTTCTCCACCCTGAATGTGCACCATGAAAATTGCTGGAACCCGAAACCTTGCCCAGGACGGCATAGACTCTACTGACAGCAGGATCCTCTGAGCGTGGACTATTAATTTGCAAGGTATGAACTGAATATATTCCAAGTGTATGTAAGGCAACCTGCATTTTAGTTTTACTGCATATTTAAACAACATTGCAAATACGGAGTGGAAAAGACAAACAGAGGAAAGACTTGACAAACGCTAAGTCATGGTCAAGCGGTAACTAACCTGTATCTCTTCCAGGAACAGATTGGTCTCCACAAAGCTGTTGCAGAAGAACCCACCAGGGGCTCGGCAGTTCTGGAGGAATCGGGCTGGGTTGGGGCGCATTTTAGGGTTGGCACCAACGAGTTCACAGTAGTGAGGCACCAGTGATTTGGGGATCTGCAGATATAAAAGAACAATGATATTTAACCCTTTCTACAGAGGGCTGAAAAAAGTGTTCAAGAGTAATGTTTAATGGCCTTACTGTAAATTATGTCAATAAATAAAATGTTGAGACTACATTTCCATTCTTAAACCATGATTAAAAATAAATATAAAAATATGTCTTTAAAATTAGGACATAATGTGTTTCTGGCTACAAAGAGCAATGGTGGAAAAGGCAGAAACCAAAGCAGCCGATGAAATTTTAGTCTACTGTAATCCGATTAGTGAAAGCTCTGATTGGTAGATATGGGTTAATGGGCTTTATACATTGCGTTTGCAGTGTTGATGCTTCCCTATTTTGTTTTGCAGCATAATTGTATCCCTTGCAATAAAAAAAGTCTCTACTTCTACCATACAATATGTACATATCACTTGTTGCATTTGTACAGAGGAGTAAGAGTCAAAGCATGTGTGAAAAGAGCCATCATATGTGACAAAAGGAATCAAAACGATTCCATGTTTCATATACATAACACTGACCTTTCCGAGTGAACGTAGAGCAGTTGGGCGAGGGAGAGGGCCATTAAAGACTTCCCATATTAGACAGCCAAGGCACCACATGTCAGCTGACCTGTTATAGAGAGATCAGTGTCAAAAACAGGACCATATCCTATGAATCAGCAAATATATTTTGCGCACAAAGAAAGTGGTATTGTGTTCACAAAACTTCCACATACCACTTCTCCCCAGATGTCTTTGAGCGTTCTGACTTCTCAGGGGGATTGTACTTCTCCAGCTCAGGTCCTTTTTTAGGTGCACTTTCCTCACTACCTGCTGGATACATATAATCCAGCCCCCCCAACTTCCACTCCCCTGCCCGGTCCACAAACACTGATGACATATATACATTATTGTGGATGAGGTTACCATCATTGACCAGGAAACTGAGCGCTTTCTAGATGGAAACAAAAAGACAGACATGTTATTTATGAGAACTTATACTAATTGAAATAAATCAGGGCTGGAACAATCCAATGAGGCAGACAGCTGATATGCTTAAAAACACAGACTACTTTATGCTTCTAATTCTTCTTGAATCTGTCAACCAAGTTTAGAATGACTTGCTGGCTCCTGGCTGATTGGCCTGCCTAGCATTTGACCCACCCCTGACTTAATGCTGAACTCCAGGAAAACAACCATATGAACAGTTGAAATACCACAAGTCATTTAAAGATTGTAAACCCTCAGGGGCAGGGCCCTCCTTACCATCTTGTCTTGAATTGTATTGTGATTGTAATGTCTTCCTTATATTGTAAAGCGATGCGCAAACTGTTGGCACTATATAAATCCTGTATAATATTAATAATAATTATAAGGGATGCACCGATAGCGGTATTTTGGTATTGAGTACAAGTACCGATATTTTTTTTTGGTACTCGCTGATACCGAATACCGATACTGGAAGTTCCATCAAGGAAGCCAGGCGGCGTGTAATGACTCGCCACCTGACTTTCCGTTTAGCAGGGAAGCCGTCACTATGTGACGAGAAAGCAAGTCGAGAAAGCAAGCCATTACACGCCGCCTGGCTTCCTTGATGGAACTTCTGGTACTCGCCAAAATACTCGGTATCGGTGCATCCCTAATAATAATAATAATAATAATAATAATAATAATAATAATATTTTGGCTGCCAAAGGATTTGTATTTTATCCGCCCAGCCCTGATATTTACAGAACCCTAATAGCCAGGTTGTTGACCACGCTTTTCTAATGGAGTTGAGCTGTACCACTGGGACAATTCCATGTGCCCTACTTGACACTGGACAATGCAGGTAAAGCACCAGGCTGATCTCTGACCTTCTGTCAGCATGTCGAAGAAGCAGAGCTTGATTGGCACAAGGTACCGACCCTCCCTCTCCTATTCTAAGATCTACTGTACAAGAGATAACAATAGGCTGTTATCAGTACAGATTTGTATTCATCACATTGGTTGCATTCACAAATATATTTTATGATTTGTAATGAAAACATAACTACATGACTTTGTGTTTCTGATATCTGCCTGGAGTTCAGCTTAAAATAAATCAACATAAAGAGGCTTCAAACTAAATCTGTGTGGCAAGTAATACATTCAAACATAGCTGCTTGGATGCACCGCTTCAAGGCTACCAAAGCGCTAGTTGCTCTTAGGTCTTGTTAGTGCAATGCAGCTCCAGAACTGTAACAGATTGAACTTAATGGCTGCGAGGCCACCATTTCATGTTCCCAAAAATTCAAGCAATGAGCAAGATGGAAGCACTGTAAGTAGTTTTGCACTGCTCCAAAAAAAGCAGATCAACAAAGGTCCAACTGGCCGTTTGCCTGCAGGAGCCCATTAATTGGCTGCACGAGTTCTTTTCTGGAAACTGGAAAAGCATACACACACTTAAAATGAAATAATGAATATGAAGACGTACCACGATTTGGTGTAGACCCCAGGAAATCTCTAATTCACTGATCCCTCCAGCATCACTCCTGGATTTCATATATGTCCCCAGAGTCGTCACTGGTTCTGTCACTACGTACAAGCATTTATCAGTCTGCAGGGAAAGAAAAAGGTTATTTCTAGCAGAACACAATGGAATTCCTAGTGTCATATCATGTTAATGTAAGATATCATTCTTTTTATGTGGCATTTTCACTAACTTTTTTCCTTTACTGAAGAACCTACCTTGTAGACCCTCTACATAAACTACCAACCACCTCCTATATACACATACCTGTAGAAATGTACTCCAATTTCAACCAATCTGCATATCAGTTTTGGTTGGACTGAGCCCTAAACTCAGGAATAAAAAAAAAAAAATAGTACAATACTGCAAAAGTTCACAGTTTACATAATTTGTAGTCACTCATTTACTGAATGACATAGCCCGAGCCTACTGTTATTTCATTTTAAACCGATTTAGTTGCGCTAGGAAAAAAGGGAAATCACCAGCTGCAACAATGTGTATAACCGTGATTAATGTGAGCAATTATGTTGCGCTTGGTAGTGAGCAAAATTCTTTACTGTATCACCTTTCTGTGTTTCTATCTCAATGGAAATGTTTGTTTATACTAAGTGAAAAATAAGTAAATAAATGAAATGGCAAAATTAGTAAAATGGTGTAAAGTATATATAATATAATAAAATTAATAAATTATAAACTGCGTCTGCGTTTTATTCAGTATTTCGTTAGTTAAGTATGTTTGTGATGTGACAATTAGAAAACGATATTCTGTGATTAGGCTCTCGACCCCAACATCTATATGAATTACATGTGCATTCAGATTCAAAAGGTTGATCTCATCACTCGATTGGTTAATTCCAGTTAAACAGCTATTCGATTCAGCGTGACCGATAGTGATGGTAACTTACATAAATAAAGCATTTATCATCGCCCCAAAACAAAAAAGACACAAGGTCAGAACAAACAGAAGAAAAAAAAGAAAAGAAAAAGGCAAACAGATTGGGCCAATCCTAGAACATTTTCAATCTTTCAAATAAAGATTATTATATGCTGGCCTCAATCATCAATTTTCAGTGTCTCTGTATTAGGCTATTAGGTTAGGTTATTTTCCCAGCAGGACTGCAAATATCCGACATTGGCGTGTCTCTGTCCGCCCAGCCACATGGTCTGTTCACGGACACCTTGACAGGATCTCTGAATGGAGAGATTACAAGTCACATTTGCCACCTCCCGGTCCTGTAACTGAAAGTCCATACCTCAGTACAGACAGGGGCAGGGAGGAAGAGTCTGCAGGAGCCAATACATTGCACCCACAATTCAGTGATTGTTGTGATGCTTTGCAGGCTCCAATGCAAAATAATCAATCGATGCCCATTTCTTCTTTTTATTAATGTGTGTCCATGTAATCATTTTTTGCAAAGGGTGGACTCTGCCTTTAATATTCTTGAAAGTATAAGGAACGTAAGAGAAAATTACCTCTAATCCATCCACATATGACAGAATATTTGGGTGTCGCAATGTCTTGATTCTTTTTAGTGCTGCTTTGGCTGCTTGCGTCTGTTCGTCTGCCCCCGGACGGATATCGTAAGTGAACACAGACACTAGGTCACCACCGGCCTGAAGAAGAGACATTTATACATCAAAACATTTAGAAGAAGCAAACTTGCCATTGGACCGTGACTATACAAAGATATAATAATATGCTTGTCTAATGTCAATGGGTGACATTTTCATAAGTACATATTCATACATTAAAATATTAATAGAAGGAGTGAATTTACTGTAAGACTGTAAGCATCGAGGAAGAGAGAAAAAAAAAAAAAAGAGAGAGAGGGAGGAGAGAAGCCCAACCAAATCCCTGTAATGTATTACGGCAATGCAGGCAGGCTGCATATACAGCAACAAGTGTGCTGGTGTTTTTCCTCTTTTTGTAATGACTGCAGCAATGGTTAATAGGCCCAGTGCTGGCAGCACATAGGAAAGTCCCTTTTATCCAACATTCACTGGTGGCGATTCAATCACTGTCATTTAAAATACACACAAAAAATATAGAGAAAAAAAAGCAGCATTTTTATTACTGTATTTGGAGCCTGTGTGGACCCCAGTGGAGCCAGTCTACCCCAAAGAATGGTGGAAGCAAGGCTGCGATCATCACAATTTATAGGCAACTTCAGACTTCTGCCTCCATCTGTTTGGCTGAAAGCTGATTCATTAAAATGGATTTCTTGACCGACCACTACTGTTGTCCTAATGAGAGGCTGCCTGGATAAGCGATAAGCTTTAGGGCACATTCACACCAGCAACAATTTCTCCTGCAAAATCCCACAAATCCTGCCAGCGAAGTTCACCTAATTCAGCTTGCTGTGATGGTGCGGCAACACCAGTTCACTGCTATCAGCATGGTGACTGATAACTCACAAGCCTGTAGCTTGCCAATGAACACAGGGTATGTACTGTAGAGACAAAGCAATCATTTCGCCACTTTACAGATCGCTGGTTCAGCCACATCTAGAGTATGTGGTAAAGTTTTGGTCACCAATCCCCAGAAAGGATGTCCAGGAGCTGGAGAGAGTCCAGAGAAGGGCGACAAAACTAATTAAGGGACTGGAGGACCAAAGCTATGATACAAAGTTGCTAAAGGGGACGAGATTTTGATATACAAATTGTTTAATGGTGATACTAATATATCAGTAATAGACCTTTTACTGCACACTCACTAAAGACTGGAGGCCCCCACCTAAAACTGGAGGAAAAAAAGATTTAACCACGAGGGGTTTCTTTTCTGTTAGAGCGGTAACATTTTGGAACTCTCTTCCACAAGCAGTGGTATCAGCAGAGAGTATTGAATCATTTTTAGATACCTTCCTCAGAGACCCTAAGGCTGGGCACACACCTTACAACCATCGCAAGACTTTTGTCTTGCGATGGTTGTAAGGTACTTAAAAAAACGTACGATCTGCCGATCTTGCATAGGCAGATCGTACTTGCGACGTTTGCAAGCCACGCCCCCTGAGGGGTGGGCTTCCGATGACCGCAATGCCAAACGGGCAGTGTGCGCTTGCGCACACCAGCCCGTCCGGCTTTTATCTTACGAACATGCTACACACCCGCCGAACATCGTACGATGCTCGGCGGGTTTTGAAACATGTTCGTAAGTTTAAAGTCGTGCGACCTTACAGTAGTAGAGGTGGCATGGCTTCCACACACCTTACGATAATCGTACGATCGCAGGATTTCCCACGATTATCGTAAGGTGTGTGGGGACCTTAACATATAGGGGTACAGGTACTCTTAATGACTGGAACAGACTCACAAAAGGTTGAACTCGATGGACCTGTATCTTTATACAACCTCAAACACTAGTCTGGACATGATCCGGACATGCTGTGAACAAGCCCTTAAACAGGATATTGGGGCCAGTAAGTGGGGACCAGCTGATTCGGCAGAAAACTAAAACTTTTAAACATCAAGAATCAGCATCCATTGTAAGGGATTTCATCATTTGAAATTGCTTGAAACATTTTGGGGGGGAATTTATCAAAACTGGTGCAGGAAAAATCTGCAGCAGTTGCCCATGGCAACCAATCAGCAGCTCTCTTCAGTTTGCTCAGATAAGATTTGAAAATGAGACAGAGAAGCTGATTGGTTGCAGTGCAAATCTGCTCCAGATTCTGTCAGCTCCAGTTTTTATAAATTCCCCCCTTTGACTTTAAGATCACTTTAAGGTAGAGTATATAGAGACTGAACAACCATTTAGTAAGTGGAAATGAGCCTGGGCTCGGTGCAAACCCAGTTTGCCTAACCCGCCTCAAAACTGTGACCACCACTCCCTCCTTCAGAGCCAATCAGTGGCAGCATTTGCATTTCCGGCTCACTGTGATGAATAGCTATGGGGTGTGGAATGCGCCTCACCATAACCGATCGGGTCGGGAGGAGGGGGTGGCAGTCATGGGTTTGGGCGTGCTTGGGAAAACTTAGGTGAACTGGGTATACACCAAGCAAAACAAATGGCAAACGCACTCATCAACTTGTTACCAGCTTTACAGCAAGGTGCACATGGAAGGGCCTTATACAGTAAAACAGCAAAAAAAATTTCCAGCACACTCACCAGCCAGAGTGCATCTTAGCTGCCGTTGTGATTTGCGGGATCCCTTGTGCATTTAAGGGGGGTTGGGCTTCCTCCTGACAAACCTGCACCCAATTTGATCTTTTGCCACATTTGCTCCAAGATGGAGACTCTCAGTTTAGAGTTAGGAGCGCACTATTTAGAGGTGCCTTGACGCGGCAGTGCGGCTTTCACATTTTCTGCAGAAGACGTGTATCTAAACCTCTGTTTTTAACCTTAGCGGTGAGACAAGTTTTTTTTGCAAGCTAGCTGGTGAGTGTGCTGGGAAAACTTTTTGCTGTTTTACTGGGTATACATCAAACCTAGGCTCATACTAGCAAGTAGCAAGTGGTCAGCTCAAGCGTGACAACTATTCACTTGTACAATTTCTTTCCAGCTCAAATTCCTGGAACGGAAAATGTAATCCTTCTACGTCACAAACAAGCATTCACGTTATTTTGAAACGACAATGTACCAAGTTTCCTATTAGTGCATCTTGGCAAAGATCTCTGACTGGTCACCAAATGTAAAGGAGCAGGGGGTGGAAGAAATCATATGGAATTCAGGAACCAGCTCCACTGACTACTACAGAAACCTCAAACGTTAGGCACCAGCTGTACATTTTAAGGAGCACTGGCTACCTGGCTACTGGGATTTGTCCAGCCCTGTAAAAGAGGATCATCTAAAAAATGTTCCCTAATCGTCCACATCTCCAGTAACAATGGTGTCTCCAAATGCTGGCCACATGGGCAAATTCCGATTATGTCAGATAAAGAAACGTTACCAATGCCGATGTAGTGTGCATCGAGTAACTGCAGAAATGTTGGTCAATTTCTTTGATCTTTGATTTCTTTTGATCTGATATAAAAGCTGTGTGATCAGAAATAATTCTCTGATGACTGCACATGGCCCAAGCTCGGTAAGTATGTTACACTTCAGGTCTTCTGGACCACAGCCAGGGTAAAACCTGTATAACAAGAGGTGGCTGTCCCTGAAATGTACAGTAATGATATGGTAGCCAGCTAGCAGTAGCCTACATACCAACAGAGATGAGCCTAGGTTTGCTGCAATACCAATTCACCCAAGCCCAATCTAAACTGTAACCACCACTACCACCTCCCGGCCCAATCAGTGGCGGCAATTGTAGCGGGGGCATTCCGCGCCCCTTTGTGAGGTATAGCTGCAGAGTGGGGAATGTGCCTATTTGCAACTGATTGGGTTTGGGGGGAATGGTGGACACAGTTTTGAGCAGTTGGGCGAACTCAGGCAACCGGGTCCACAACAAGCCCAGCCTCATGACTACATACTAATATTCCATTCATAAAGTAAACAAGCAGAGATACGGGTTTCCCCAAACCAAGTCACTGGCATTGCTTCAATAAAGTGCATCTGACGCCAAATGGTTTTTAGTTTTGGATAAAGTGATTGGAAATCTGAACCTCTTACAGTTTTTATTTCTGCCCGAGTCCCCACCAGGGAGATTCAACAATGAACTTCTCTTATACCCCCATCACACGTGCGGCGTCCTTGCGACGGAGGCAAAAACTGAGCTGTGGGAACCCATATTAGGTCTATGGGGAGTCAGATGTAAGCAGACATGTGTCTGTTTACATCAGATTACCTCTGAAGCACAAAACAGACTTCCGATCAGATCTGCCTGAAAAATTGACAGGCGGACATGATCGGAACATGTGAAAGGGGCCTATTTGCTAGTTTTTGGTCTGTTTATTGTGCCATTTAAAAAAATGTTTGCAATATTTGTTGGATAAATAAAAAATTCCTGTTGATTTTGCCGATCTAATAACTTTCTGTGCTGAATTTTATCAGCTAGCATTGTTCTCAGCTTTCTCTGTGCACTACAGATCACTCCCCCAATGTTATAGAGATGAGGAGTGGGGAAAGTGTTCTGTAGTCTTAAAATACTTCCTTTCCCAGAGTGACAATACTAGGATGGACGTCGTCACCCTAAGACAAGAAGTGTATTACTGTGCTTGGACTTTAATTAGTAATTTTCAGATAATAAAGCTAGTCTAAAAAGTGGTTAAAAAAAAAGTGGTACGAGGACCCCTCCGGAGGACAATCACTGGGAACTGTACATGTCACACAGGCAGTGGCCACCCACCCAGAGGAAAACAGAGATAAGAAGGACCCGACATGGGATGATGTGACCGCAGGCTCTAGTGACACTAAACTAGTGAGATAAACCTTAAAATGCATTCAATTACCTTAAATATTAACAAAAATGTATCTTATGTGTGTATCACTCGGCTGTAAATCCTCAAATCATCTCTGCTATGGTGCTGACACTGTCTTTCCTTCTGGAGGGTGGCTACTTATGTTCCCCATGGTCCCTGTGTGTGTTGTAAAGTATACACCACTCCAAGCTCGGTCCCGTGATGGACTACAATCTCATGTTTAGTTTACTCATTTGTACTGAGATTGTAGTCCATCACTGGAGTGAGCTTGGAGTGGTGGCTACTTTACAACACACACAGGGACCATGGGGAACATAAGTAGCCACCCTCCAGAAGGAAGGGCAGTGTCAGCACCAATTCAGAGATGTTTGGAGGATCTACAGCCGAATGATACACAAATAAGATACATTTTTGTTAATACTTGGGGTACTTCAATGTATTTAAGATTTCACTCCTGAGTTTGGTGTCACTTTGTTGATGTGACAAATCCATCTGTTGTTATTTCCTCCATTTTCTTGCGGATAACACTTGCGGCTAATTGATAAAAATGGGAAGACATTCACAGATAATTTGGAAGCATTGAAGAACAGGAATCGGTGTAGCACCCGCAGGCATTCTGACAAAGCGTAGAAAATAAAGTGTAAATAACCTGCACACATTCGCACGGTTCGGAAATGGATCCCGAATATGTCCCAAACATCCCCCCACAACATAAATGCTATACACAAAGGAAATCATTGATATGAACAAGGACTGGATCAATAATGACACTAGAAGGAAGATTTGCCTGTGTATGTTTACCAACTACCTCAGTCATGTGACCCCCAAACACCATATACGGCCAGCATATTCCATGTGCATGATCTGTGGTGATACACCAGTCTGATCGAATGGAGGACACAGGTCTGTATAAGGCAAGTGTCATCACATACAATACATCTTATGTGCCTCCATCCTCCTCTACTGTCCCAGTCTGCCTTATGAAGACTACCCCCTCATAGCCCCATTCTGCCAAAACGCCCATTACCTTCTTTTTACCCCTTTGGATCCCCCAGCCTCCCGGTAATTCCTCCCGTTCCCCGGTGACGTCATAAGGAAAATCACGGGCCGGGTCCCGGGACCAGAACCACATCTTCACAACGGGGCAGACACGTCACCGTGACGTGGAACGAACGAAGGCGTGTCTTCCGAGACACCTCACCGAGTAATCACGTGACACTGAACAGACGCATCATGCTGTGTATCTTTTTTTCAACAATCTTTATTGACGTGCCATTCGTTAACATAAGACACAAGTTGAATAGTAGCACCTATCAACGCCTGAGATCAGAAATTCCTATACCCGCAGCCATCCACTAATTTCAGCAAAACAACATGCAATATAGTAAAATATATTTATAATATAAAATAATTAATATATATATACATTTATATTTTTAGGTTTCGGAGTGTGGAATAGTTTTGTGTTTTTTATATTTTGCTATCTGGGTCCCATTGGGGAGTTTTACCTTCACTTCCTGTCCTGAAGGTATAACAGGAAGTAAGAGGAAATCTATTCAATGTGATGGGAACTTGTTACTGAAAAGGTTTCTGTATTCCTGTCCCGGTGACGGCTGTAACATTTTGGATTTCTAGTGACTCTGCCCCATTGTTAGTGGTCACCAGGACAGCCAGAGAAGCTGAATCTACCCAGCTGGGAAATAGTTGACAAAGGTTTGATCATTTGCAGGGCAAAATAATAGTTTAAAAAACACATACGGTACATCTTGGCTATTCATGCCCTTCGCCCCTCTGTATTTTATTAATTAAGGGCTGGATAACACCAGCCTGCATGCTAAGACAATGTGTTTAAGGCCTGATTCACACCACAGCTTTCTGGGAACATGCATCACATTCGTGCACATTTGCTTTGTGACAAACGCAGCAAAAAAAGCTGATGTAGCAAATGTTGACATTCTTTCTGTGTTTTTGGCTTCTGCGTTTGTACGCGTTTTAATGTGTGCAAACACGGAGGAAAATGTGCATCCTCCTGTTCACGTTTGAAGTGGCAATAAAATTGCAACACAAGCATGTTTTTATCGCATTTTCATCAACGTACGTCAAAGCACGCATTCATGTGCGCATTTGGTGCATATTGATAGAACGTGCAGGTGTGAATGCGGGCTTAGTCCTCGTTCACACTTGTAAAGCTCATTTTTGTGCATTTATCATGCATTGCGCATGGGGCACCTTTTATTGAGCTTCAAGCTTTGTGCGTTTTCATGGATCTTTGCACGCAGAAAATGCACGTTTTACTTGGTGTATTTGTGGTTTTCCTTTAACTATAAATGTCACAACAAGAGCATCACACATTTTTGGCATGCTTTGTGAATGCGTGTAAAATCCTGTGATTGTGCTCCTGTTCACACGCTACATTAGTGTGAAAGCGACCTTAGCGTGTGGGCTAAAGTCTGTAGGAGGTGTGGAAGAGGGTTGTGTGGTGCGCTGTCTCAGCACATGGCACTGTTTACTTTGTTTCTTTTTGAGACTTTATTGAGCGTGTACAAAGCGTACAATCCATACAGAGGTATGTTCTGAGTAGCTGTTCTGCAGAACTTCAATTCGCTACGGCAGCTCCACTGAACGCTTTGGCTGCGCAGTGCTAAGCAAAAGGATAAGATTTTTGACAAAAAAAATACCAACGAATATTTGGTGTGCTCGTCCACCAAAACATTAAATTGTAGGTTTCCACACTGATTTGATTTCCTCCATAGGGGTTCAGGCACCTTTCTTCAGAGCTGCCAGATGTGCCCACAGTTAAAATGGCCGCTGGTGCTCTGCCCCCACCTTCTCCATCACACTCAGTGCTCTGCATCCACATTCACTTCCGCTGCGAGTGCTAAGTTGGCAATGCTGTACAGCATTCAGTGGCGGTTTTGTAACTCCGCACTCGCAGCGGCTGAGCAAGTGAACATGCATCAGGTCTCTGCACAGCAACCTGGTGTGCTGTGGATATGGCAGGGTGACCTCTGGTGCCCATACCTGGGAACTGAGAAATTGTAATTCCTGAGACTGTGGTAGGGCAGTGGACAGAGCTATGGTCCAAATTATGTAGTTCCACAACAGCTGGAAGTTTCCCCACCCCTGGTCTACAGAATGGTGATTAGGTGTGATCCCAGTGCACAGTGTGTACTCTAAACTTGTGACACTGACAGTGCACCTGGCTCCCAACTATCCACCATTCCAATGACACTAAGCCCTCCTTCACACAGGGGATTCTGGCAATCCTGCATTTCATGTCAGTGTCAATGAATGGTGTGTGCACCTGGCTCTCACCTATCCACCATCCATTGACACTGAAATTGCATGTAGGTGGCAGCCAGGTACAATGTCTGTGTCACTGGAATGGTGGATATATTTACCGGTCCTCCGTGTGAGAAGGACAAACACTGGAGCAATCGTCTGATCACTCCAGTGTTTGTAAATAACTGGGGACACATAGTACTATGTGTCCCCAGTTATGAATGAACAGGCTGCGATTTACATCACAGCCTGTTCATTCAAGATTTCCTCAATGGGGAGAAGCACTCAGTAAAGAGGCTCCTCCCCATTCAGAAACAGCTGATAGTAAATATTTTACTGAATGAATGGGAAGCCTCTGTACTGAGTGCTTCCCATTCATTGAGTGCTGAGGCTGCTGAAAAAGAAATTGAGGATTTGGTGTCCTCAATTTCTTTTCTATTTTAAAAGGGAAATGTCAGGGGTCTGTTTGGACCCCTAATATGTCCCTGTAGCCCCCCCACAGTAAATTACAAAATAAATAAATAATTATTTGAAAAAACAAAGTATTTAAAAAAATAATGAAAAATGTAAAAAATTATTTTACAAAAGGGAAAGCTGCCCCCCCCCCTCGCCCCCCACACACACACACATATTATTAGACATGTGCGAAGATTAAAAATTAATTTCAGATGAAATGAACGAAAACTAAAAACGTTTTCATTTGTTTCATCAAACAAAACAAATTTTGATGCTATTTTGGATTCAGCCATTGGCGTGTTCTGGAGGCGGGGCGTATGACATCATATAACACCGCACGTGTTGGGCGCCACCATCTTGGTGTATATCCAGGTATACACCAAGATGGCGGCGCCTATATCGGCGTGTGACGTCATCTGACGCCACGCATGCATGGCATCATGTAACGTCATGCTCCCCACCTCCAAGATGGTGGCACGCATTCACAGAACACGCTGGTGGCCAACATGGCCGCCGCACATTCTCAAACAAATTATTATGTGGCGGAATACATTTTTCGTATATTCGGGCAAATAGTAATTCATTCATTTACACGTAGTCTGGGGTTTGTGTTCTGTTTTTTATTTTTACTTTTCTAGATATACTTACTTGAAAAAAGGGATCAGCATGACATCCTGACACTTTATTTTTATAGACTCTATTTTAGTTTGACATTTATTGTTTATCACTTGTTTGCCTTCTCTTGTTTTATTTGATAAGAATACTTATATTGTGCCTACAAATTTAATACCTTTGAATAAAAGTTACATTTTTATCATACTTTTTAATATATTTTTGTTTGTGGCTTAACAAAATGGGAGTCTTTAAATGGTGCGGATATTGGTGGAAATGGGTGTGGTTACTGGGGGTGTGGCCACTGAGGGGCGCTGTAAAGCTTTCTTGCACGGGGCGCCTAAAGGCCTAAGGCCGGCCCTGCGGATACGATAGATAGATAGATAGATAGATAGATAGATAGATAGATAGATAGATAGTTTATTAAAAGACAACTATCCTTATGTAAAATCCTGTAAATTAAAACCATACTTTATTAAAATAATAGAATCCACTCAGACAGTTGAAAAGGCAATCCCGTCCATATGTTGCCGATACCAACAGGTCTTTACATTTTATAGCCAAAAAGTTGCAATCTCTTTTTCCATCACTAGATGTCCTCACAGTGCATGAATAGCATTTTCTCGTGTTATAAATGTTCTAGGTTTCTCAAGACATTATTAAAGGAGAACTATGGGGTCAGTGTTTTTCCCCATAGTAACGGGAGGACACAAACTAGCGTCCTCCCGTTACCCTAAGCTCAGTATACCGCGAGCTACAGCTCGCGGTATACTGAGACGACGCAGCTGGAGCGGATCCCGACTTAGACGACGGGATCCGCCCAGCTGCGTGAGTGACAGCTGGCTCTGCCTATCTAGATATTAGTCAAAAGTAAAGAAAAAATCCTTTTTTTTTTTTTTTACAGTCCGCGTGAAGGTCATACCAGGCCCTATAAGTCTGGTAGGGATTTTAAGCGGGAACCCCACCCCCAAAAAACAGGGGGAAAAACAAGGTAGGATCCCCCCTAAAATTCCTACCAGACCCTTGATCCGAGCACAGGCCCGGGAGGGCTACCAAGCCACGTGCCCTCAGCATTGGGAGGATGTTCCCATGCCGATAGGGTCAAGGGCCTCTTCCCCACAACCCTTGAACAAGAAAGAAGATCCTTGCTGCTCTCCTTACCGGGATTCCCATATGGATACATAGGCGGGTGATTGAAATGACTGCGGATGGCGCCGCAACCTGTAGATAGTTGAAGGATGTCACCAGCACACCAAATCGATAATTACAGCAAAGTGTTCAGTTATTGACATATGCTGTCTTTCAGGACAGACCAGGGGGCGTGGAGCGGTGACGGAGCCGGACACATGGAGCTGTGACAGGCTCTGTCACCTCCATCAGCCTCTGTCCCCAGCTCATTCTTGTCACAGGAGTTCTAGCACAGCTGCTGCTCGGCCATGGAAACCCATTCCATGAAGCTCTCTACGCACTGTTGTTGTGCCAATGGGAAGTCCACACGATGTTTGGAGTTCTTTAGCTATTGACTGCAGACAGTTGGCGACTTCTGTGCACTGCGCACTTCAGCATCCGCTGACCCTGCTCCTTTCTTTTCACGTGGCCTACCACTTTGTGGCTGAGTTGCTGTTGTTCCCAGTTGCTTCCACTTTGTTATAATACCACTAACAGTTGACCGTGAAATATTTAGTAGCAAGGAAATTTCACGGAACACCAGAATCCCAATACTTTTGGCAATATAGTGTGTAGTATATATATATATATATGTGATGTATCCGTATTTCTATCCTTAGCTATTTCTTAATAATGTCTTGAGAAACCTAAAAGATTTATAGATTTATAACAAGAGAAAAA